TTAGTCTTTTCTCTTCTGTGCATTTCAGCCTGAGAAAGAGAGAAAGAAAGGGGGAGGTAATGTTCTCTGCAGACGTAGAGTTCAGCTCACTCCCTGACAAATTTTCCCCGACTGGAACACGGCAGAAAGGGGGAAGGGAGCAACTAATAGCTTTTCAGCAAGACATTTTTCCAGCAGAACGCAGGTCTGGGCAAAGTGCTCCCAGTAGAAAGAGTTCGAAAAATTGGAGAGTGGTGATTCTCCGAATGACTGATAAATGACATGTTGAAGAACAAGCCTCATTCCTTGACCTTTTAAATCTAAATTAGAGAGGCTTCTGAGGACATGAGGTTATCATGACACTTAAAATGAAGACTCTATATCTAATCTATTCAATGTGTAGAGATCAAATACCAGATTTTAAAGACAGTTTTGTCCGTAAACAAACCTTTGCGAGTTCTTGCGATCCATTTATAAAAGTTAGCTTATTGATGAAATTTTTGCTCCACTCTGTCATTTATTATTCTGAGACTTACCTGCTAAAAAACTCTGCCTAAATCTGTTTAAAACTATTTGCTGGTCTTGGGTTAAGCACCTGGTATAGCCTGGCCTACAGAAAAGAGGCCAAAACCCCTCTAAAACCAACCAACAGACCAGGGTGGGTAAAGTGATCCCAAGGAGAAAGAGTTTGAAGAATGGAGAGTGGTGATTCTGAATGACTGATAAATAGCATGTTGAAAAACAAGCCAACAGACTGGGCTGGGTGACCAAACGAGATGAAAAAAACAGCTTAGGAGGGATGCTATCATATGGCATCAGAAGATTTAGAATATTGTGCACAACATTAAGCTTTTTTTTATGGTGCTTTATTTATCTATTTCTTGTCATTTTGCAGCCTCCGACCCCATTGACTTTAATTATTTGGAAGTGTGTGACCTGGATATTTATCAAAACAGAAGAAAGAAAGTCAAACAGCAGGTTTGGACGACACAAGGGTGAGTTAATAATGACAGATTTTCATTGGTGGGCAAACGTTTGTGTGCACACTCGGGGTGTTTATTCACCATGGCTTTTTTAGGCCGCTGTATATAATATTTGATATACATGTTAAATGTGCTCTTGAAGCTGACATCCAGGTGAATACATCCTCTGTGCATCATTAATTAACAGTTTTGTGCATTTATAATGGAGCATCAAGTTGTAGCAGAGTGAAAAATAGTCCCAAATCCTGAGGCAACAAAGTCATGAAAGTTTGATAGATTCTCTCCAAACAGACTCATTTAAACGCGACTGCTTGTGTTTGAACGCCAAATGTTGTAAATATTTACTTCGTCATTGCACAAATAATTGAATTCACATTGTTTCAATAGTATTTAAAGACCTTTCTGCTGCAAGTGTTATCTGGTGATTTTTTTTTTTTTTTTTTTTTTTTTTTGCGCATTGAATTTTTCATTTATGGTTAGTTATGCTGGAAACAGTATGCAGTATGATACATCTACTTGGCTTCCTGAGAACACATGCACTCAGTTAGAAGAAACAACTCCCCTATATTCCTCCCCTTTATCTGCTCTTCATCCACTTTGTCATAATATCCCATGACCTTCTGGCTTCATCTGTCCCCTGGAGAGAAAATGGTTGTGTCCAGTGCCCTATACAGGGGGCACAGGTTTGCAGTATAAAAATATAAAGTCTGTATGAAAAGTATCAAGAGTGTTCACAGTTCTCTTAAAACTTCTAATAATAATTACTCTAAACTATGATTTATTTTTTTTAATTCAGCAAAGACATTAAAGTAACAAAAACTTAATTTAACAATAACTTAATTTAACTTTTACATTACAACTTATATTTAGTTCTTTCGGAACTTTCTGTCAATCAAAGACTCCAGAAGAAAAGTATTACAGTTTCCACAAATATATAAAGCAATACAACTGTTTTCAAAATTGAAAGAAATATTTCTTGAGCACCAAATCAGTATCTTTGTAGGCCCACATCCACATATGGGAGTTTTGCAAACATAATAAATAATTAAATGACATCATTTAACACTGCATACTTATCAATATGTCATGTTGGCCATTGTGCACAAATTTATTTATATAGCACAATTCATCCCATCAAAGTAATTCAATGCGCTTTACAAAAAGTAAAAAACATCATGATAAAATACCAAGTACAAACATGCACAAAAAAGATAATAAAGATTTAATAAAAAATAAAAATAAATAAACAGATGTAAAACTACACAGTATAGCTAATTTTAAAAGCTCAGTCATAAGCTTGTGAGAAAAGAAATGTTTTCAACTTAGATTTAAAAATCAATACTAATGTATGTAAAAATCTAATGCATCACAAGCTGCCCAGCAGTATAAGAGTTATATGCAAGGGTTACTCTTTTGCCTTTACGACCTGTTGGGCGCAAAGATCAAATTAGCTCATCTTAATCAGACATATACAGTAGCAGGGTAAATGTATTCATGTGGTCGGAGGGCGAAAAGACTTTATTTTCCTCTCACTTTCACTCTAACTCACAATCTCTCTCTCTCTCTCTCTCTCTCGCGCCTACATTCCTGAAATCCTCATCTCTTCTCCTCATTCCCTGCCATTTACTTTTAGGTGATACTGGGTTTATTGCCTCGTGTCCTCCTTCTGTGCTTTCATTTCTGGCAGCATAAACGCATAGTGCTGCCATACTTTCCATAAACTCACTCACTCTCTGTCTCTTTCCTTTTCTATCTTTCTTTCGCAGTCATTAGCCTTGTGCAAAAGTGTCAAAAAATAAACGCATTGTGGCTGCAAGACAGCACTACTACATTTTATACTTTCCGCCTCACAAAATTATATCATTAATTCAGCTTCAAACTGCTTTCAAATCTTGATTTATGTATAATTTATAACAAAGATGTGTCATTTTGAGTTACTAACTATTCTTGTCAGTCTCTTATCTCATTGAAATGCACATGCACTGCAAGGCACTTCTAGTGATGGTCTTTAATAGAACAGACCTTGTTGAAGCCATTTCATTAAGCCATGTAAGATTTTGTGGTGTGCAAAGGGACACACAAGCCAAATATTAGTACTGCACTGTAAGAGAATATTAAAGCTTATTAAAATGACAAAACGCAAGTTACGTTAACTGTGAGATACAGATTGTTCACTTGTAGTAGTTTGGCCACTGAACTTAAACTGATGGAATGAATTTATCAATCTTATGATACAGGATAGAGTGAGACAGAAAAGAAAAAGAGAGAGAGAGAGAGAGAGAAATCAAGAGCCAAAGACAAGAAGCCTCGCCTAAACTTAAAACACATAATCAGTCCAAGGCAAAGGAGATTAAATTATACCAAAGTAAAACAGAATCCTGCTACCACTCTTTCAAGCTCTTTTGGTAAATTACATGTCTCTTTCTCTCGTCTCTCTGTAGGTCGTCCCTTAACCTCGTTCGCTTCTGGTGTGAGCTGTGATCAGCCATGGTTGAGCTATAATGTACGTCAATCAAAAGCTCATGCCACATTAATTTTGATATTCAGAACCTTTTTTACAAGGACTGCACAGATTGTACTGACTAAAAGGGTTTGAATTTTTCTGGAATTGTCAAAATTGCAGCTGCCCTCCCAGTGAACAGCAAACTATACACAGAAGAAACCTCCACCTTGATTCTTTCAGCTTTGCCGGCTTGGGCGGCTCTTACATCCACACACACACACACACACACACATACGCATGGCTCCGTAATGCTTTGCAGCCTCCAGCGTGCCCAATCATTAGAGCTGTCTGTGTTTGTGTTGAGAGCTGGCATAACTAGCATCCGGAGCCTTTATCAGGGAGGGCAGGTAGGACTAAACTAAGTGATATCAGGTGGACTGCATCAAGAACGGCTGTTCTCAACTTAATGGAAACAGCAGGAATGGAACCTGGAGGCAAAGCTCACCTAAGCAACTTCCATGAAATCCTCCATTCGTTCAGTTTCAATCCCTACAAGTCCTCTGTCAGCAGAGTCCAATGGAGACGTGGCTGTCCACGGCCTTGTCTCCTCCTCCAACCACAGAGCTGTTCTTTTCTAACCAACACAAATAATCGCGGAGGAGAAGTCAAATTTATCCCAAACATTGAACACCTGCTGTGTTTTACAGCAAAGGGTGAACAGACATGTTTCCTCAACTACTCTTCAGTCCTTCCCTGAGCTATAAAACAGTGCAAATAACATAAAAAGGTCAATAAAAATTCTAGTCCACGTGGAAATAAAAATATTTGGTGCAAGCAAGTAATAGTATTTGGGTCATTCCTAATTGGTAGTATGCTTTCCTTCCCCCATAATATAGGCTGTATGTCTTATGTTAATATATTGGATACAAATATTACACTTTCCATTTTTTAAGATGGAAATCATATTAGTTATTTTTTTTAACAATACCACAATAATGTGAATTTTCTGATTGGATGTTGCTATTTTTTATGAAGATCTAAAATGTATTCTGCAATTTATTTACTACTATTCCAGGATTTTCATTTTATTTTATTTTACTGGTAATGTTCAAAACAAACATGTTTTCTTGGTGACATTACAATATTGACATTTTTTTTAAATTGGTAATTAACTTTTTCCCTGTATTTTAAAAGGTCACTCCGCCTCTGGAAAGATGAATGTGTATTTAAAATGGGTAATTTATGTAGAAGAAACGTGAAATTATTTTTTTGAATTTGGAGCTTTCTAGACTGAGAAAAGCCAGAAAATGTATTTTTGGCTTGTTGATGATAGACAACAACTCCCAGAATGCACTTGATTCGCTGCCCTATGAGGCCACGCCTACCTGTAACCACCCAGTAGGTAAACAACAAGTCTAGGCTAGCTACTTCCGAAAATGAGTTTCGAGATCACCTAAAATGTCCGGGATTTGGCTTTTGCGTTCCACAGTCCCCATTGGCGAGCAGGACAAGTGAGGGCCGTGTGGAGAACGACGCAAGTCATGTTTACTGTGGCGAACAGGACGAGTGAGGGCCGTGTGGAGAATGACGCGAGGCTGGTGGCGTGATTACCTGATGAGCGACACCTGTGAGACGTAAGTTACCAGTCTCGTATCTCTCACGGAGGAGCGGAAATTTTCTTAGCAATGTTAAAACTCACATCAACCGATCACTTGTTTTGCGTTCATGTAAACACTACATTCAGATTCACCAATCAAAATGAATTCAGTTAGATGTAAACAATGCATGGCGACTGCAGAAAGCAAAAGCTGAACGGACATGTCCGGGAAAAAGAAGACGGTAACCCGTGAGCTTAGAATTATAAGGTTCTACCTCCACTTTTGGTCGAAATTGAGTTTTTGACATAATCTGATCCATTAGGTGTTTATTAATGCCTGTGTGGTGTTATTTTGGTAAAAAAAAAAAAAAAAAAAAAAGATTAATAGATAAAGCTATAATGGGATGTAAAAACTTTAATGCTCAATATCTCAGAACTACCCTAAACGGAGATTGAACCTTATAATTCTAAGCTCACGAATCTCTAAAGTTACTACTCGGCTTTCTGCACAGAACAAGAGCCTGCTAGCTTAGCTTCCAAAAAGTTTAAATGCCTGCGGGGCAAACAGGAATTACCTATTGGTATTGGCCCATCGTTTATTAATTGTTGACTTATTTCTATTAAATTTATTCAACTAAAAAAGAAACTTCCTCCCACTTTCAACTGTTTGTTTTTTTCCCACCAAATTTCTCATTGTGTACATTTTTTTAAGATTCATCAACTGAAACATAAACTGAATAAGGCCTAATCCTGGCTTAAACTAAGCCCTGTCTGTGGAACCAGGCCTTCATGTCCCATGGACAATTCCATAGGTGCAAAAATTGTTTAGAGTTCATTAAACGAGCATGATAAACTTTGTTTAAACACTTTCCAATTAAGATCTAAGCTTATTTTGGAGTTATCAAATTATATTAAAATTATCTTTAAAATACAGTATCCTGAAAAGGGATATTTCTATATATGCCCGTTATTCAATTGAATTCAAATTTCATACCATAACAAATTGTATAGTCTGAAGTTTCGCAAATGTGTTAAGCTTCAAGTCAACCACCTGTTCTCCAGAGCCCAGTATTTCTCTCCAGTTTCTGTGTACAGAGGGCACCTGTAATTGTGTGGGATGATTTTTACCTCTGCTCTAATGACAGACGTTTACAGTCGTCTCTGGGGCGGCACTCGGGAGCGAAATCCCCCCTTTCACCACCACCCACCTTCACCCTGTCATTAGTCTGGAACGTGAAGAGATTATCAAAGCAGAAGTGATGCCATGGTAGTGCCTGGTGGCCAGACAGCGAGTGAAGTAAAACACGCTGTCTGTGTGGAGGGAAGAGGGCTCTGAATCCCCATCATTTCCTTTCTGCAGGTGTGTATCCACATCACCCTCCTTACAAAAAACATTCTGTGGCAGTGCCATGGTATACAAATGGCAATATATGGGGCTTTGAGACATGCTGTGACATTTACACACATACACACAATATTCAAATGTGTGGTTACTGAAAGATTGGGGAGTCTGGGGACTCTGGAGTATTGTTGTATTTTATTATGACAATGATGATAATTGTTAGTAATGGTTTTTTGTTTGCTTGTTTTTTTTTTTTCCAAGAATCTAATACAATAAGGGGGGAAAAGCATTTCATGCTTTTAAAATAAGTCTGCTCACAAAGCCAGCATTTATTCAATCAAATATACATTAAAAAGTATTATTGTGAAATATTATTACAATTTAAAAATAACTGTTTTCTATATTTGAATATATAATGTATATGCTGTATGTATAAAATGTCACTTATTGCTGTGATGGTAAAACTGAACTTCCGGTTCGTTTAATCCTTCAGAAATCATTCTAATATGATGATTTGCTGCTCAAGAAACAATATAGAAATAATTATTATTATTATTATCAATGTTTTTTGTAACGTTATAAATGTCTTTACTGTCACTTTTGATGCATTCAATTGCTCAATAATTATAATTCTAAAGCTAAATAAATAATTGTTTAATTGCGATAGATAGATAGATAGATAGATAGATAGATAGATAGATAGATAGATAGATGCATGTTGCAGACTGCAGAGAAGCAGCAGACACAATAACATCACTGACATATAAATCTGAATGATTAGATGGCCAGATGGGTTCATTGCATTATTCTTCATTGGAAAGATGGACACATTGCATAGGTTAAATGCACTACTATCCCTCTTTCTCTACTTGTAGCAGCTTGTAGACAGATGTTTCATTTGGCTGTGCTTGCCCAAGGCACTGCACAAGAAAAAAAGCTGGGGGGGGGGGGGAGGCGGGGTGTCATTTAAGCATCAGGAAAAGTTCAATAAAGTTATGTCCTACAACCGTGTGTAAAATGGACCTTTCATTCTACTATAATAAACTGAAGCCAATCTAAAATGAACGCCTTTATATTAAACCAAAGACACTGCAATTTCTCTGCCCCATAATAAGCGAGTCGCAAATACACACTGATTTTGCTACCTCCATTTAAAATCAATTCAAGTTCTGGAACTGAACTGCAATTTAAAAGGCAATTAAAACTGCACACGTCTGCATATGCACCGTGTTCACGCTGTGTGTTTCAGTTAGTGTGTGTTTATTAGCCATGTGATGTGCACGTCGGCTTGTTTGCGTGTGCATTTTGCATATGTGTGCCAACCAGTAGCTTCTGGGTGTGAGGCACACTTCACAAGCTCTTGTTAGAAGTTAAAGAGCAGGGAGAATGTGTTAGTTGGCGCCTGTGCTTACTAAGACCCTTCAGTGGCTCAGCAGGTGAGCAGTCACACTTGCACATGCTTTAACAGCATCGGGTCTCACTCCAGAACTTCAATGCAATTTAACAGCTAACAAAAAAAAATCACAACACTTGATAAAAGAGGCCACAAAGTGTTACTGAATTCTGAAATAGCTTGCAGTCTGCAACATCTATCTATCTATCTATCTATCTATCTATCTATCTATCTATCTATCTATCTATCTATCTATCTATCTATCTATCTATCTATCTATCTATCTATCTATCTATCTATCTATCTATCTGTCTATCTGTCTATCTGTCTATCTGTCTGTCTGTCTGTCTGTCTGTTCATCCGTTGTCCACCATAAATCCATTAGCTTTATTATAATTGAGCAATTAAATTGATCAAAAGTGACAGTAAAAACTTTTTTAATGTTACAGAAAATTCCACAAAACATTGAACAACATTGATAATAATAATACATATTTCTTGAGCAGCAAATCATCATTTTAGAATGATTTCTGAAGGATCATCCAAAAAATCCTTTTTTCAGGATTTTTCAACAGTGAAAACCCTTCAATTTCACTTACCCCTGCTGTTCTACCACAAATTTTCTAGATGATAGAAACTCAGGCTTTTATTTCAGATAGATACAAGTGGAGAAAGGTTAAAAGAAAGAGCAACTTTGCCTCTGGTGTGGAGTGTTTCATTAAAGCTGTGCTGTAATGCGTCATTACCTGGTGTGCTGGTTCCTGCCCTGCAGATATGTGTAAACTATGTGTTGTGTGTGTGTGTGTGTGTGTGTGTGTTCATCCATACTCCCAGCAAATGTGTCCTTTAACAGCTCTTCAAACGGGTTGCTTCCGTTCATAAAAGCGAGGCCTTCAAAGAAAGGCACCTTTTGGTTCAGGCAGTCAGCGTGGACAGCTACATGTTCTCATTAGGACCCTGTTATGAAGGGTGATGAAAAAGCAGATGTTCACAGGGGATTCATAAGCCTTCCGCAACACTTTGTTGTACTCGTAGTGTTTGTGCACACTTTATTAGAACGTTTAGCTCAACAGTAATCATTCACTAAAAACACATGGTTTATATATGATTGGTGGTAAAAATCCTTTCAAAAGCAACCTGCATGCAAATCAGTTATCCAGTGATTTCCAATTAAAGTCGAGTTGTTTTCGAATTCATTTGAAAAAGAAAGAAAGAAAGAAAGAACGTTACTCTGATCTATCCTCTTTTCTCAATCCAGTGGGACTCCACCCATAATCACTAGCTGACCTTGAAGAGACTGACCACAGAACTATAGATTACAAAGACCAGGGTCAGACGAGGAGGTTCTGAAAATGCCAGTTTCTATTTCAATGCTGTGCCTTTCTGGCACTGTAGCTCTGTAAACTCTGTGAATGCTGAAGGCATCCACCACAAACACTAAAGAAATCACCATGAGAAGGACAAGGGAGGTGGGACGTGGAAATGACATGACTGCTTCATGTCTCCTCATTTTTTTGCCATTAGAGAGACTCCCTAAATCTATTTTTCAGTGTAGTGTGTACTGTATATAGACAGCAGTAAAACACTGTCCTAAGCAGTGTTGGGAGTAACGCATTACAAAAGTAATACATTACAGTAACATATTACTTTTTGCTGTAACGCAGTAGTGTAAGGCATTACTAATCAATTTTCAGTAATATTTTACTCGTTACATATTCAGTGAGGCTTGTATTACAGTTGTATTACAGTGTATTGTCTGCTTTTACTTCTTAAAGGCAACAGACTATGTGAAAGTTTTAAAGCAGTCTTTTAGTGCCAGTTCAGAGCGGTCGCGTCTGTAACATTGTTTTTTCCTCATAAATGCGAACATTTTCTGATAATTTTTATTTCAAGTTTTGACTGCAAATGTCATGTCCATAATGCTGGACTTCCCCAATTTTAAATAATTTATCCTCAACTAGTTTTGTGTTGTAGGTCTACGTATTTTATAATGTTAACTTCAAATACTACTAATAGCCTAATTTAAAGATAAGGTAGCATTGGATATGGACAGTAAGGAGAATAACGCTGGAGTTGGAAGAGGTGTGTCGCGATTCTGTAGGTTTGTGGATCTGAGTCGTGTGGCGAATCGCAATTTCGGTTTCATATTGCATATCGTTACAGCCCAAAAGTTAAGTTCTACTTAGTTATTTTGGTGTAACGCATTACAATTCTGGGACAGTAATATTGTAAGGTAATGAATTACTTTTAAATAACAGTAACAAGTAATACCTAATGTATTACAGTTTGGAAGTAACTTGCACAACACTGGTTCTAAGTTACTTTGAGCAAGCAATAACTTCTTATGTTTAAAAATTACATCCATACAATTATATAAAGGAATTATTAACTTTTAGCTGTAGATATGAAAAGGTGTTTTACAGTAATATAGCATTCACACATTTGGGATTGGGGAGATTTTTGCCTCTTCTCAAGTCCAAGGTTGCATATATAAAATACAGTAGAAGCATGTCTCATTATCAATGTTGAAAACAGTTGTGCGCCTTAATATTTTTGTGGAAACTTTTTTGTGGCATTTTTTTCAGAATTGTTTGATTTAATAGAAAGTTTAGACGTAAAGCATTTATTTGAAATGGACATCCATGAATGTATTTACTGTCACTTTTGATCAATTTAATGCATCCTTGCTAAATACAGTAAATAATGTTTTACCGATCCTAAAGTGTAGTGTACAATAAGTAAGAAATCATTGTGCATTAGGTATCATTTTGAACCATTTTAATATTTATAGTTGTATAAATACAAATCGGTTAATAATAATAAATTGCCATTACCTACAGTAGATTAATAAATGCAGTAAGACTGTATATTGTTATTTCATGACTCCTAATGTATCAGCCAATGTTAATGAATCAACTCTTATTGCAATGCGTCACCAATTTCAGAATCCCACAGTAAAAAATAAAACCGTAAATTTTACGGTAAAAAAACGGCAGCTGTGGTTGCCAGAACTTTACCGTTAAAAATACGGTAGGAACGTTAATGGTTTTACAGACTTAACTTAAAATTTACAGTAATAAACCGTATTTCATTATCTGATAAAATGTTGTTTTAACAACCTTTGACCTACACTTTAAATTATACAATGAGTTGTTCTTTTTCACTTTTTTTCACGGATTTTACAGTAAAATTATATCACAGTTATTTACCGTATAGTACGGAAACTTTCTGTAAACCAATTAACAGTTTTGCACTGTAGCAGTCTTTTAGCGTTAAAATCACGATAATTTTTTACAATACTTCTCCTCTTGTCTCATCTGCATTTCCAATTCAGTGGAGTTCTTACTGGTGAGCCGGCATTCCTGGGCCAGGAGTTTTCACCCCATTGTGTTTGGATTGAGCCTACATTTCAATCAATCAATTCCTTTGACAATCCAGTAAATGCAGGCCACTGTTCCTGCAAACATCCAGTTGTTAATGTGTTGAAATCTTCAAGCTTTTCGAGTATCACCACAATTTAAGAACTTTACACATCCCTTTAATTACAGACTAATTAACCTAACCTGTAACCTAAAGTTATTGAATGAAGATGGATATTTGTGTACTTTATATTTCGGGGGTATGTGCTATAATGGATGTAGTAAAATGCAGTCAATAAAATGCAGAGATCCAAGTATGCCCATATATTTGACCCTGATGGTGCGTAACATAAAAGGGAACTATATTGAGAAGGGTATCATAACATATATCGACTTGTTGGCAAAAACATTGTGGTTAAATGTACTTTTGCCAAGACACCACTCTTAAAAACAATTACATTGTTGTCCTTATAGTAGCCAATGCACATGTTTTTTGAGAAAGCAAGCAGGCATCCTTTAATTGAGCTTTTTGGAGCTACATCCAGAACATTCTGCAAAAAAAAAAAAAAAAATGGATAGATTTAGACTCAAGCATGTAGATTTTTTGCTAGAAACATTTTCATCTATGTTGTAGTATGTGGTTTTACTCACGCCATTAAATCAAACTCTGTTCAAACTAGAGGAACTTGGAGAAACCAAACTAAACTTCCAACAAAAAAAAAAGCAGAGCTTTGAAGAATTGGCCTGAGATGAAAATCATCCAAACTACACAGAGTAACTTTGGAGAACCTTGACTTGGTGTTAATGTAAAATAAAACAAACCCAATCTCTTGATGAACGGGCCTGCATTCAACGTGATTTATCAGTGTTTTACAGTACCCATTCCTTTAGCACATGCTTCCCCTTTTTTCCAGGTTTAAAGATCCTTTATCATATTGAGTGTGTGTGTGTGTGTGTGTGTGTGTGTGCATGTGTGTGCAGGACTGCGAACCATAAAGAGGATAACTTTCCTAAAGAGGAACAGCTGTGGAAGCAGGAGTGGAGTGAGGCTGGTATTTTTGGAGAGCAGGCCTTCTGCATCATGAAAGCGTGGGGTGGGTCACAACACCTGTTTGCTCAGGACAGACACCCGCCTATCAAAGCACAGAGTCTCCGACCGTGCAAGACCGAGCCGGTCGCCGTGTAATGACAAGACGTTCAGAAAGCTCCTCAATGCTGCACAGCGCCAGTGTGTCCCTTTTCCTCAAGTATGAATGCAGCCTATGAAATGCTAGTGTTTAGCTTGATTCTGGTTTATAATGAAAGAGTAATATGTGCTTGTTGACGTTCCAAAGGTTTAAAATAATGCCTAGATATCATGATGCAGCAGATTTGGTCTTTGTTAAAGGGATAGATCACCTAAAAATTTACATTCTATAATTCACTCCCCCATGCACTCGTTTCCAAACCTGTATGTCGAAGAGGCCATTCGCACAGAACACTTTTTGGGGAGTTAAATCACAGGATGCAGGGCAGCTTTTTTTGTTGTTGTTGATTTTAATGTAACTTTAGCACCATGTTTTTATAACACTGTCTCATGCACGGGACACTGCAAAAGATTGACCAATTCGTACGATCTGTCTAAACCCACGTGATGGTTTCGGGGTGGGGTCAGGTATAGGTAATTAGTAAACATTCATACTGTGTGAATCGGACAACTCTTTAAATATGTATGGTTTAGCAAAAATCATACGAATTCGCACGAGTGAGGTCATATGAATTAGTACGAATTAGCCACCTCATAAAATTTGTACGTAGTGCCATGAGATCGGGTTGGCCTATCAGCTTACATGAAGAAAAATAATCGTCTTACCCCCAGTTTCACAGACGACGCTTTCCAATATTTTCAAGGTTTTTCCAACCTTGCACTTTTGACTTGCTCATCTGAAATGTTTTTTTCAAAGGCATGTTTATAAAAGCTACATAAATATCCTAATTAAACTATACGGCCTAATCCTGGCTTATTCTAAGCCCTAGCTGTGAAACCGGGCCTAAGTTTACTGACGTAAACTTATTTGGTACAGTAGCTCCTAGTTCCATACGAACCACTTGCTGTGTTACACCAACCAGATCTATTTTTCGGCCCAATGAAAAGTTCTTCTTCTTCTTCCCTCTATCCTGCTGCCTTTTCCAGGTCACATCGTTAGAAACCGTCTGTGCTGTGTTGTGCTTGGCTCTTTCTCTGTTGCAGTTCATGCTGGCTTTGGACAATGTGAGAGCTCCCAGAAGGCTTAGCTCTACCAGGCTAAACACTAATACTTGGCTTCTTGTGGTTGCATCCATTTTCATAAATTTTCAAGTCTACTTTGGCCACTGCTGCATATTTCTTTTTTTATAGTATTTAGACAAAATGACAGGTCCACGCAAAGAGACTTTTTTTTTGCATATTTCTTTACAACAAATGGCTGGGTATATATGCTGGGCAAGAATATGAGCCTTTTATATCTTTAGCATAACATTGTGTACTTTTTGTCACTCATAAGCTTGCCACGGACTGACACTATTACTTAAATGTCTTTATGGTTGGCAGTGCAAAGTTCATATGCTTGACTTTGAGCATCAAAGAATGTTTAACATTTAAATAAATACATTTTCAATCTTCGTCTATAACTTAATTATACGTCTGTTTTGTTTTGTAGAAAGGGCAAGCTTTTGGCAGCATCCTAGTTTCATTTCCATGCCTTTCATTTGAAATATGTTCGGTTACTATTTTTGTGAAAATTGTTGGATGGGAAACAAATTATAAGCAAAAACAATTCATTTTTGTGGATTTTTAGAGACGTCAGAGAGTTTTGCCAGTGATTTGGTGCATTTTACCAAAGAAAATAAAGATAAAAATATATTTTTTCAGAGTTATAATTATTTAGCTTTTGTACTCAAATTTAGTGTTGTTACTATACTAATGCTAATAATTTTATCTTCTGTTGGCTTTTAATTGTTTGTATAAGTTGCTTCGGATAAAAGTCTCTGCTAAATTAGTAATATAAATTAATTAATTAATTCGGTAATTTATGGACATTTGTAACACATGCAAGTAAAAAAGACCCCTTGACAGTCTCCACTTGTTAGTAGGTTTTTAGTTTAAATGTTGGCTACATGTGTAACCCTTTCAATTATGCAGGTAGGCTAATTCATATTGCTTTGACTTGCCATGTGTGTGAATGGGCGACTGACCCTACTTGCACCTGAAAGCGATGAGGTGGCGTTCTCTCTCTCCTCTCTTTCTCTCCCTCCCTTTCTCTCAAGGCTCGCGACTCCTTTCATCTGCATTATTCTGAACGGAATAGGGAGGCAGACGCAACTCTTGGATGAGACACTGCTATGAAGATGAAGAGGGGGGAGCGTCAGCTCTGATTGGTCAGTTCCAGAGGTGCGACGTGTCTATACGGAAGAGAGATGCAGCCGCTCGCAAGCCAAATCACTTTTTATGGCTCGTGCGTGGCCGCGTATTAAGAATGTGCACCTTTCGATTATTACAGTCTGGGACATATTTCTTTCTAATTTCAAATGTGGTTTCCTTCACGGTAACAAAGATGCTGAAAAAAGTAAATGCACCCTAAAACTGAAGAAAGAAGTTCAGTCGTTGCATAGTGAAACCAAAATGATGCCAAGTTGACGACTTTTCGACCACGTATATTTTTATTGAGGATGAATTTGAGTTGAAACAACTGGGATTGATCAGTCATAAAATCGAGCAGGCTACGTCTAAATGACAGATATCATCGTGACAGGTTAAAGGAGAGAAAAAACAATGTTGTTGTTCTGCTTTTATTAACAATGTATCCATCCTGAATCAGCATCATAATATAATGCATACATATCAAAGATGGACCAAACACAAATACTTTCATAGAACAAATAAAACGAAATACATTTGGCAAATAATTCCTGGGGCAAATAATAATATAAACAATATAGCCCTGCATAAATAACTTTTGAATCGATATTTTAATAATTTTAAGAATAAGCTGAGATAGCCTAACTATCTATCTCAGCCTAGTATTAAAATAGCGATTTAAAAGAGATAGATAGATAGATAGATAGATAGATAGATAGATAGATAGATAGATAGATAGATAGATAGATAGATAGATAGATAGATAGATAGATAGATAGATAGATAGATATCTACTACTGATGAAAAAATAACAGAATAAAATTCTATAAAACAGAATTGTTCCGTCGGTAGCCTATATAAACTAGTAAAGAAACGATAACAAATTTAGTTCAGAAAGCTTTGCGTGGTCCTCTTCTCCAAGTCCTCATCTGAAGAAAGTCTTTGGTCAATGGGTCTTTCCAGAATTCAATATTGAAACAAAAGATATGGCCACAATACAGGTCACCTTGGCACACAACAAAAAGAAGTTTTGAGAGCAAACCCTCACCTTTTTATTAAGAGATCAGGTTTCTTCAGATGTTAGTTCTGAAAACGTCGTGAAGACAGCCCCCCTGTCCGGTGAAGGAGGGACGCTGTTCTATTAAACGTGAACATGCTTGAGTTATCTACGCCCGGCACCTCCCAGAAAGTTTGGGGTATAAAAGCCAGGACCTACAGTTGGTTTAGGCAGTAGGGAGTTTCTGCTGGGGTCTGGATTGGAATCACAGAAGACCGGACCCTACCGTGTATGATTGGAGTCTAAAGGAAAAAAAGAACATCCCTCGCCTCAAAGAGTCTACATGTCTAATATTTAGACATGTTCAGCTTTGTGGATATTCGGTTGGCGCTATTGCTAAGCGCAACGGTGCTTTTGGCAAGAGGACAAGGGGAGGATGATCGTAAGTATAACTTTTCTACATTTTTTAAGCTTTGCTGGAGGTCAGTGGGTGCAAAAGTGAAGCAGTGAGGCTATTTTGTGATGCTTTAGAAGGAAACAGCAAGATAAATTATTCTCTCAGGGCTACAAAACAAGAAAAAAGGTTATGCAGGCGTTTTCCTCTAACCTTTAGGCTATCATAGATTATGTTTTCTTCTGGGATAGACGAAAATTTCCTTAGTGTGGATATGCATTACACCCACTGGGCCTTTTCAAGCTCTGCATGCGCGAGCCTCTGGAGTCAAGTTGGCACAGGTTTTGGAGATTCTCCTCCACGCGCAATGTGTTTTCCTCAACAGCTGCCATATGAGAAAAGCAGACAGGGAAGAGATCAAATATTCCATAATGTGCTCATTGCTTGAAAATTAACTGATAAAAATTTGGAAACAAAAACGTTGAGATGAATACAAATTAAGAAGTCGTTGCTTAGTGATACAATTGGCCAGTTGGAGGAAAACCAACAACTTGGTAACAATATAAATGATAAATTTCAGCAAAATAATCTGGATATGGGAGAAATCCTATTTAAAAAAGTTTCCCCCGCCAAACAAAAAGTGATCTCACTCTTGAATAAGTATCTCTCCAAACTGGATAGTGAAGTCTGCTATGTAGCCTACATTAAAACAAAACTACTTGATTTTTTTGTACAATGATAAAGAAAAAATAATAGCTTAAATGTTTTTTTGTTGTTCTTGTTTTTAATTAATATTCCAGACCCATAATTTTACATCTGAAGGGCATACGTTTTTCAGGCAGTATCCCAGCGCCACTTGGTGGTTAAATGTGCAATGACATCATATTTTGACAATCCCCCACCCCCATTCCTTTCCCCCTCTGTTTTGGTGATTGAAAACACATGCGGACCCAGCAGACTTTCCACTGAAGGAAAACGTTAGCCGTTGCCAAGTCGACAGTTTTCAATTACTTCATGATGGACGGTGAGCTTCAGCAGACGTGGAAATTTTCCCTCAAGCTTTTCCCACTGAAAACTGGAACCTGGGCCCAACAATACTACGCCACCTAGCGGTCATTTCCAAACCAAACACTTTCAAACAAAAGTAAAGGTGTGCGTTATTAACATCCGCTATTCTGTTCCCATTCACGTCTACGGGAAATGTTTTCAAAAGGAAAATGCTAAAGAGATGGCTATACCAAATCCTATACCACTATAAGATCTAAGTTTAGAGATCTGGAGGTTATTTAAAGATGACTTAAGTAGCCTACATTATTCATTTCCCACCTTCCGTCACTGATTTAGGCTCACGTGGAAAACACAGTAAACAAGAAACACACCGACCTGAATATTTTAAATCCTATGACATAGTCAAATAGCAAACGTTTACATATCTACTTTTACACTCATGCAACTCTTTTACTCGTTATAGGCACAAGTGGCAGCTGCACATTGGACGGCCAGGTCTACAATGACAGGGACGTCTGGAAACCAGAGCCATGCCAAATCTGCGTGTGCGACAGCGGCACCGTTATGTGCGACGAGGTGATCTGCGAGGACACGACCGACTGCCCCAACCCAGTGATTCCCAACGACGAGTGCTGCCCCGTCTGCCCAGACGACGGTACGACGCCTTGATTCTCACGCATCGGGGGGTTATCCCCCCTTACCTTGGGCAAACAAAACAACCTCACCACTTCCCACATTAAAAGTGTCTGGGAACATTCTTATGGATCCACAACATTCACTCCCTTGGATTTTGAAATATGGCTTTCAAGCTTCAAGCCTTATGGTTATTCACTGGATTAATTTGTCGCTTGGTTCTTGGTCTAGTAGGCCTAAATCAAGGCTCAAAGCCTCAAATCTAATTGGGGAAAACCAGAGACTCATTTGTTAGGCTGATTGTTGATAAGAATTGATGAGCATCTAATTAATTTCTGTTTTTATATGGTTTTAATTAGTATTTTTTCCCCTTCAATTGTGTAGATTTCCAGGAACCCAGTGTTGAGGTAAATGTTGCTTTACTTTTATCAGCTTATATTGCCTCAAATAAGTTTTCAGTTCATTGCTTCGTAGAAGAATCTTGTGAATTGTTCAGTGTATTGCAATAAGTACAGCATGCTCAAGGCATCTTTTGAACTCATTTGAAACTAGTTAATTAAAAGTTGTTATGTTTATCCGGGAAAACAAATCCTTATAAACTCTTTTGTGTTCATCGCTCTCTCTCAGGGACCTAGAGGTTCTCCCGGTGAGAAGGGTGACAGGGTAGGTTTATATTTCTCTCTTTTTATGCATCCGTTTATTGCCTCATCAAGGGTTTTGTTTACTTGATGAACATCTTTTAAGTTCTTGAAGACAAAAAAACATGTAATTCAAAATCAGCTCTCATTAGCACTTCACAAAAAGATTGTATCCCTCACATCTATATAAATGATATATATAGTATATGTGTATGTTATATAACTCTATGCTCTATTTTCAGTCATAAATTCTTTTTTATAGCTTTTTTTTTGACTGACAATGGATTTTATCTAAAACTAGTTTTTATCTGATTTATTTGAGATTTTGAGTTGTTCAAGTGTTTGTTAGCAAGGTTATGGTTGGTTTATAATGCATGGTTATGTAATCTCACACAGAAAGTACCAGCAGCACTAATGATATGCTTTACATCTGACATGTCTCCATAACAACAGAATTACACTACAAGCACATGCAGATGGTTTAGTTTGTCTTTTATATGGTATTTGTGGTGTTTTAGCTACTCTTGTGATGAGGCACAGAAAGATGATTTGGTCTATATATAATGTAAAAAGACAACTAAATTATATATCAGCCCACCACTTTCCACCATTATACCTCTACCAAGTAAAAAGGACTGACCTATAGATGTGGTGAATCATTTTGAACTGTAAGGGCTTTAATGTGAGCTGGACTCTTTCTTTTCTCATCCCCTTAAATCCTACTTTTTCCTTCCTTTGACCTTAAACAGGGTCCTCCCGGCCCTGCTGGCAATGATGGAATCCCTGGCCAGCCTGGCCTTCCTGGGCCCCCAGGCCCCCCTGGACCTCCTGGCCTTGGTGGAGTAAGTATCTAATCCTAAATTAGGAAAATACTAAATTTCTCCAACCGGTAAAAGGTGTAACTTAAATGTACCTTCAGGCCAGGTGCAAAACTTCCAGAGTTTGTCTAGGCCGGAATCTGAAATCAGATCACATTTAAAACACCTTTAGGTCACAGAGCTGACACATTTCAGCACCATTAAAGTGGACAGCACCCTCGGGGCAGTAGCTATATTTGCACACTGGCATGCAAAGCTTTGGGTTAAGTTTAAGATAAGCCCCTGAACATGAGCTTGCTAGATACATTCAGTTACGTTTCATCCTGAACGGGTCTCTAATCTCATACTTTGTAAGAACTAAATGGACCCAGTGCAAATTACTGACCAGGTCTTTGCTTTTTCTTCTTGTCCCTCCACAGAACTTTTCTCCTCAGATGTCTGGTGGCTTTGATGAGAAATCCGGAGGTGGAATGGCTGTTCCAGGCCCCATGGTAAAAATGCACACATGATCCTACAAACCCCTGAGTGATGCAAATACCACTGCAATAAATGTAGAATATGCATGTCCACTTATTTATGTCTCTATATAATCACTATTCATTTTTTTTATAACACAGCATCAAATCAGATATATCATCAAATATTCTTGATCTAAACAGAACTCACTTTAGCCCAATACAAGGCATGTGTAGCATGTAGCTTCAAACAAAATATCCCTTGAGCAATATGTTCACCAATTGTTACTGTCAGATTTACTGATTATATCTCATTTTTCTCTTTTTTCTTTTTTTTTTTTTTTTTTTGCAGGGACCTATGGGCCCTCGTGGACCCCCTGGGCCTCCTGGAGCTTCTGTGAGTACAATTCTTAAAAGTCTTGTCATCCTGACAAATGTGTTTTAAAAAGTTCCATATTAGAAGTCATATTTAAATGAATACATAAATATAAATATGCACCTTTTTATTTGTTGTTACTTGTCACACTCAATTTAATCTTTGTGAAATTAGTTTGATTACTGCAATTTCGTACCTGGGAAAATCACAATACATTTAATTTGTAGTTTTTTTATTGTTATTATTTTATCATTTTATTACTCATTTTTATCCACCCAGGAAGTCTAAATGAGCTACAACCTTTTTGCTCAATGCTCATTTTAGCATGTAATCTCGCTCTCGCACTGTAAACAGTGTTCCTCAGGCTTGTGCTTTTTGTAACTTGTGCCCTTTGCCCTCTTCTACAGGGACCCCAAGGATTTACTGGTCCCCCTGGTGAGCCTGGCGAGGCTGGTGCTCCTGTGAGTATCTAAACAAATAATCTGTACATCTATCCAATCACACACACAGTAAATATCTAAGGTCAATCACTTTACCCATTTACATTCGCCCACATTAATATTACTCTAACATACTTAGAAATGTGACTCCAGTAGATCAAAATGGTGCCGGGCTCATGAATCTTGACCTCAGACACCTAGATATTTAGTCAATATTTCACTTTTTGGATCTGGATAATTCACTCTGCCAAAGTGTGACTCACTCATGCCGCCACAATGCAAAACATAAAAATACACTCACATGGACACAAATGGTATTTCCTAACTTGGATTTTTTTTCTGCTGCTCTCCTGCTTTAGGGTCCAATGGGTCCCCGTGGTGCTGCTGGTCCCCCTGGAAAGAACGGAGAGGATGTAAGTAATCCATATCATTTTTACATTTTGGTTTATGATGATGTAAGAACCTTTTTTTTTACTTCAATGGTTAATACAGTGTAGTTCAGTTATAGTACAGTTGCATATTGTTCATCTAAGACTTTGGGGAGCCGAGCATTAAACTTATCAACATCATAGAGAAACGGTTAAAGAAACATCAGGAAATAGTGACGTGAAATAGCAAACATTTCTCATAAATTCATTCTAGGGTTTAACCAGTGATTCAGCTTCTTTCTCCTTTTCTCATCTGTTGTTCTCTGACTCTGTAGGGTGAGTCTGGCAAACCCGGTCGCCCTGGTGAGCGCGGAGCCCCTGGCGCACAGGTGAGTGTTGTACAACTATTGTTATAATTGCATTCCATTAGTTATTAGCATTATGGTGTTTGACCCACAAAAGGAGAAAAGAGTGTAAAAATCGTTTGTCCTTCTCCCTAGGGTGCTCGTGGATTCCCCGGAACCCCTGGACTTCCAGGCATCAAGGGACACAGAGTGAGTGCTCTAGCTCTAGGGAGTGGTTCCTCTCGTTTGATGACTATCAACCTATGTCTACATGAATTAAATCTTTACGTGCGTCCTCTGTACCTCAGGGATTCAGCGGTCTAGATGGAGCTAAGGGAGATTCTGGCCCTGCTGGACCTAAGGTGAAATCAGAATTTAAAATCAGTATTACACTTCATACCTCAATTTCACAGTAAGCAGACCAGTTAACACCCTGCTTTGCCCTTTAGGGTGAGGCTGGTTCCCCTGGTGAGAACGGAACTCCCGGTGCTATGGTAAGGATCATCCATTCGCACTTGATTTGCATATTTAAGCATGACTTTCATGCTATTTTGCAAATTTGTTTCTCTCAAATTCAAAATCCACATTTGCAGTTCGTTCTAATGTAAATCTGTTTTCCAGGGTCCTCGTGGTCTGCCTGGCGAGAGAGGCCGTGCTGGTCCTCCTGGCTCTGCTGTAAGTAACCTTTATAACCTTATAACCCTGAAGTGAACTGTACTTTATTATTGTCCTGATTTGTGACCTATATTGGAGTGTTATACATTATTTATAGATGTAACATGCTGTACCTTGTTACGTAACAAAGGACAGACCTGGATATTGAGCATTTCACAGTAGCTTAACCACATTTTTCTTAATTTTTCCACCTTTTAGATAATTTTTTGGATCATTTTATATGTGTTGAGTTTTTATAAATCCTTTATCAAAGTCCTGTCCTCTTCATAGCACAGATTACACTTTCAATATATAAATAATGAATGACTTCCAAATAATCACCACTTCTCAATGTTCTCAAATGTTCAGGGTGCTCGTGGTAATGATGGTGCCGCTGGAGCTGCTGGTCCTCCTGTAAGTAGCAGGTTTTTTTTGTTTTTTAATAGACCAGATTCTTTTTGTAAAGACACCAGATCTGAATTAATCTGATGAGTAAAAAAAAAACCTTACTATAATTTATTTTCTTTTTTTCTACTTTTAGGGCCCAACTGGCCCTGCTGGCCCCCCAGGATTCCCTGGTGGCCCTGGAGCTAAGGTAATAAAACCCCTCTCATTTGTTCACAAGATTACACAAATTCAAACTCCATATCAAACCAAACACTAAAGTGCCACAAGTTGGGTCAATGGTCGTAGTTCTCGATAACTCTGTCGATCATCTCGATTATGTAGGCCAACAATGAATGAAGCATTGATCTTTGGAAATGTGTTAGTAGGTCAAAGCTTATTCATTTGAACTTATTATTTGTTTGGAGCTTGAACGATCCACAATCAATAAATGAATAGAAAGTTATCTATCTGAAACTTGAGATGACATGCAAACTTATCTTCTAGCATCATAGAGATATTTTATCCATTGATCATCTTAAGGTTTTTTTATGGATTATAAACACAATTCTTCATTTACACTGAAAATTGAGATGCCCCGTGTCGCTCTACTAAAGTGTAATGTTGACCCATCTCACTCTTGCTCTTTGCTTTCTCTAGGGAGAGGTTGGTCCTCAGGGATCTCGTGGTGCAGAGGGACCCCAGGGAGCCCGTGGTGAGGCTGGTAACCCTGGACCTGCTGGTGCTGCTGGACCCGCTGTGAGTAAATCCTTGCAAACATCAAATATAATATCATATTTTTTTTAGTTTTACATTCCAATTATTTGTGCAGTTTAGTCCTGACCACCTTGTCCATTTTGCTTTCCTTCTACTGTAGGGTAACAATGGAGCTGATGGTGCTGCTGGTCCCAAGGGTGCTCCTGTAAGTATCGGTTTATTCAAATGCTCTTATTGATAAAAGTTCTTTTTTAGGCCAATATATTTCCTCTCCCTGGAGTAGATCTTTGGTGTTAGTAAATTAACGGCATATCTTTTATGTTCTCTGCTGCCACCTACAGGGCACTCCTGGTATTGCTGGTGCTCCTGGTTTCCCTGGACCTCGCGGTCCTCCCGGACCTGCTGGAGCTTCTGGTGCCCCTGGCCCTAAGGGTAACACCGTAAGTGTCTATTTCTTCTCAGATCATCAGCCATATTTTTTCAGACAAAATGTGAATTATTTCACACAATTACTTTTTACATTTTACAGGGTGAGGCCGGTGCCCCTGGTTCCAAAGGAGAGGCTGGTGCTAAGGGAGAGGCTGTAAGTATAAACTTCATTTATTTGATCTAGAAAACATTGTCACACACTTCATTGTTTCTAAAATTGCAAATTTAGTTTAAACATTCCATAGCTTTGTAAAAACAGAGCCTTAGGACTGAAAAAGCAACTATTTTACAATAATTGATTTCTAACCATCTTCCTTTTTCTTTTGTGCTTACCCAGGGTGCCCAAGGAGTTCAGGGTCCCCCTGGCCCACCTGGTGAGGAAGGCAAGAGAGGAGCCCGTGGTGAGCCCGGTGCAATTGGTGGCCGTGGACCCACTGGTGAACGTGTATGTACCCACATTTAAACCTCTCCAGATAATCGAAAATATCAGTGAGAACCTTAAAAGCGGCCTAGACCTTAACAATTACACACCTTTTTGTGCAGGGTGCTCCTGGTGCTCGTGGTTTCCCTGGTGCTGATGGATCTGCAGGTCCTAAGGTAGGTCTACAAAAGATACAAAATGTTTCACACTATTTAACATCCTTTTTAGTTAGCAACTAAACAGAAAATAGGCAGAAAATCTGTTTAGGATATTACCATATTTATTTATCAAATTTCATCAATGGTTTTTGATCTGTAACAGGGTGCCACTGGTGAGCGTGGAGGCCCTGGAGTTGTTGGACCTAAGGGTGCCACTGGTGAGCCTGGCCGCAATGGTGAACCTGGTATGCCAGGATCCAAGGTGAGAAAATTGGCATCCAGAGGAATGATATATATATTATTGGTGGGATTGATTGTGTATTAGTATGTCAGTGGTTGACCCTCTCTCTCTTCTTGCCAATTACAGGGTATGACTGGTAGCCCTGGCAGCCCTGGACCTGATGGAAAGACCGGACCTACTGTGAGTGCCCACACAATTCTCCATAATTTCACAACAAACCCACTACACTATAACAGATTACCCAAATGCATTCTAAAGTGGTCTAGTATACTACTGGTTTTATCCGGTGTTTGAAATCCAATCAGAGGTGTAAAGTCCAGGGGTCAGAAGTCCTGCCATATGTTTATTTCATCCTCAGCCAGCTGATTTCATTAATTAGTTCTATATTCTGCCTTTAAAAACTGAGCTAATTAGCTAATCCAGGTGACTGGAACAAAATACTGAGGAGGACTTTTACTCCCTGAACCTTTTCTTACACCTCCGAATCCAACAATATCAATCATAAAACTGCTTTTGACACCTTAGATTGTTTATTGCAGAACATTTAAAGAAAAATTGGTTTAAAAAAAGACACTTAAATCAGTCAAACCACTGGCCTGGTTTACAGACAGGGCTTAGATTAAGCCCGGATCAGATTGCAGTTCAATTCGGGATATTAAAGTAGCTTTTATAAACGTGCTTTAGAAAAAAACTACTGGTGTGAATCTTGAGACAAAACAAGGACAGTCACATATTTTAAGATATGTCAGAGTTTTAGTTGCTTTAAAACTCAACTCAAACATGCATGTTAGTCTGGGACTAGAATTTGCATTGTAAGTAATTAACTGTTAACTTTTTAAGAAAGTGTTATCATTCATTCATGCATTCCATCTCATGCCCCAGATATCTGTAGAAAAGGATCGAAGCTCACAGGTCTTTTTGTTTTATATTTAATAGGGTAATGCTGGACAAGATGGCCGCCCTGGACCACCTGGCCCCATCGGAGCCAGAGGACAGCCTGGTGTCATGGGATTCCCTGGACCTAAGGGTGCTGCTGTGAGTGCACTAAACTCTCTTGACTCTTTCAGTTTGAAAAAAAACTACACTATAAAATGTGAGTATTCTCACTGCATAGCCAAAATGCAGACAGTCACATCTTGATAGCTTATATTTTATGTCTAAGAAACTTTTGAGTTCTGGTTCAGTGTACATTTGTTACAAAAAGCTTTTTAAGAGTGATGTTAATTTTGCCCCTGTGCAGGGTGAGGGTGGCAAACCTGGTGAGAGAGGTGTGATGGGTGCTGTCGGTGCCACTGTAAGTATCTGTGCTTTTCTTTTACCCTCTTTTGTTCATAGTGTCTTAGTCTGGGCCTTATTCTATTGTGTTTTATGCTTAACTTTAGGGCGCTCCCGGTAAGGACGGTGATGTTGGTGCCCCTGGTGCTACTGGACCTACTGTGAGTAGCACTTCAATATTCCATAATGCATCATGTCATTTAACATTATTTCAGCCTCATTTAAAACAATGGTCCTGCTAATACATTATGCAAACTAATATCGATTTCTCGATATTAATCGATTCTCATTTTTACGAACCGATATCGATTCTTAAATCTCAAGAATCGATTAGTCATCCTGTTTCATTTAAATGAATGGAACATTGTATCACGGCTGCGCGCATCCAACAAATCGCAATAATCTTTGTCCTTTGTTACTATTGATATGAAACAAAGTCTCAATTTTCAAATTACGTCCATTTTCTTTAGAAATTCAAAAACATGAATAGCGTTTTGCCGTTTTGGCGCTGTGGCGTGAGATCGCTATGGCGCAGCTCAAGAGAAGCAGCATCTCTCTTCCGGCTTAATAATACCAGTCATGGCACGAAATAAACATGAATGAGCATCTGAAAGTGTGTTAAAGATAGAGTACAACTTATCCAAATCCGTATCATGTCACATTGATTCGCTCAATCAGCGTTTCAACCGTGGAATGGCGTCAGTTAAACAGCTTGTAATCAATCTC